CTTCTGCCATTTCTAAGTCATTTTGCATTGCTGCAATATGGAGAGCTGTCCCATGGAACTGAGTAGTAGTATTTATTAAGGCATCTGTTAAAAAAAGAAAAAAAAAATTTAATAACTTTTTTAATTAAACACAGTAAAATTCTTGTTTTCTATAGTAATTTGGAAATTAGTCACATTACATTATCTTTTATTTAAAAATACTACATTTGAAAGTAATAAGGAAAAATAATAAGTCTAAAATGAATGTTTTATTTCTATGGAATTGGTAGTTAATTTCTTAGTCATATTAAAAATGCTTGCAAATAAACTATGCGTGTGACAATCATGCCCATAAATATGAATGCAGTGTGGTTACTTCTTCCTAACATCACTGTCAGGTATAACTTATAAAAACAATTGTTCAATGCTTAACATATTTATCTTTGATGTACATTCGCATGTCATTCAATCAAATGCCTTGCATTCAATAAAATAAAACTTGAAAGCAAATCCGTTTTTAAAAATTATTTAATTAAAAAAGTTCATTCACCTATAATTTTTACAATTTGCCGATCATGAGGAAAATAGCAAAATATGATGTGCATAATGATAAACAAGATAGTGATATTCTTTTGATATGTTTACAAACATCCTACCACATTTTGACCAGTGTGCTGAAAAGTGGGGTGCCACGATGCAACACAACTTAAAAATAAATATATATTTTGATTAAAATAAAAAATTAATCTTTTAATTGAATGTTTTGTGTACACATATAATAATAAAGTTAAGAAGAAATAAATGTTAATAAAAAGAAAAAGTAACTTTAAAAAGTTGATGTTCCATTCATCAAAAGTCAAAAATGCAAATTATAAAACTTTTTAAAAATTTTAAATAATTTATTAATTATTTTGTACACCTTTTTTTATATTCTTCATTAAAAAATTTACTTAATGATTGATTTACTATGACTACACCTATTTATTTAAAAAATATAATAACCCTTCTTCCCTTCTACATATCACAAATCCTTTGTACACATTTTTTAATACTAAAAGCAAATATGGACATTTCAATTTAATAATTAATTCAGTGAATAAAATTTAGAATGCAACATAAATTTACTTTTTTTTTGTAACAATTTGAAGAAAATTTTATGAATACATATCTACATCAGCACCCATTTTTAAAAACAATTCTACACAAGCAACAGAACCATTTTCAAATGCATAATGCACTGGAGTTTTATCCCAAGAATCTACAGCATTTATCTGAAAATATTATACATATAAATCATAACTATATAAACTAACAACTTAAAAGTTTATGTAAATTGCAAGTTAAAAAGTCATGAAGTCATGTTTAAAAATAATGATGACAACAATACACCTAAAAATTAAAGACCTTAAAAATAAAAACAGTTTTGGAAAAAATAATTCAGAGTTTATCTTTTTAAGTAAATATTTTTTTTCATCCTCAGCTAATGTAAAAATCTAGAATTATATGAACCAAAAAAAAAAAGTTGTATTAGCAAATATTTCTCAACAAATATATATATATATATATATAATATATATATAAATGCTCATAAAACATGGGATTTCAAAAAAATGTGAAGGAATTCTTGCATGCCATTTTAAAACTCAAACATAAGGAATTGGATTTCCTTTATGGCATTTATTTTAAACTAATTTCAATATGAAAAATTTTGATTCTGAATCTATATTCTGATTTTCTCTGTCACATCGAGACATTTCAAACACCTCAGTTTTTAATAATATAATATTAAATACAAATAAAAGCAATTTCAATGCAATCACCAACTATTTGCTTCTCAGAATTAAAAGTTACTGGAGATGTTTCCCTTTTGTCAAAAAATCTTTCAATACTTTGCCACCATTGTGATATCTAATCCAAATAACATCAAAGTATAATTTTACAAAAAGTTCCAAGACTTTTATAAAAGATATCAAGACACACTTTAGAAAGTGGAATTTTAGATTCATAACATAACTAAGATGGATCCCATTTTTAAAACAAGGTATTTACAGCATTCACAAACTTTGGCATTAAAACACTTTTTTTTTTTATAAAATATTTCACAGTATTTGTTTTCCTTTTAATTAAGTTACACAGGTTTTTTTCCCCCTCTTAAATTCTTCATTGTTGATTAAAATTTCATTGAAAACATATTTTTGTTTTTTAAAGGAAATTGATTTAAAGTACTTATAAGCCTTCCTTAAAAGATGAATTGCTTGCCTAAAGATACTTATTTTTAAATAAACTATATGAACATTTTACTATATAAGTTATTGTATCTGATTTTCTTGGAAAATTCATATTTTTAAAGCCAGTTATTCAGAAAATAATATATTTTGAATCAACACAATTTTTAAAAAAATCATTTCAACACTATTTATTTTACTTTTATACTGGATAAATATATAAATAATGCCTGTGCAGTTTTAAAATGAAAACATTATACATTTTTTTATATATCAATAAGCATATATATTCAATATATGAAGAAGCATATTTATTAAACTCTACCCTCCTTTCCAAAATCATAACAGACTAGCAGTTCTTTTTGATAAAAAAAAAAAAAAGAAAAATGTAATAGGAATAATATATTTGTTTGAGCAGATTGACGAATAATATTGAATGTTGTTTTCTTGATCACAAAAAAATGCATTCAATTTCCAATATTACAAAAAAAAAAAAAAAAAAAAAAAAAAAAGGCGACATTTTTCTTCAAAGCAATCTCTTTTTTAATTGCTCATAAGGCTAGAAAAATAGTAAATAAAAAGTTGTATTTTAAAAAACTTCTTAGAAGTATATTGTTTTAGTTCAGTTATTAATTCTACATTTTTTTCCCCCTGCAATAAATACAAAGAGTCTCTAGCAGAAAGAATCTTCATTTTAAACCATAGTATTTCAACATAAAATTTTGTAATGACTACATAATACTTACATTTGCTCCATATTTTATTAGCATCTCCGCACATTCTACTTTATCCTCTTTGCATGCTACATGCAAAGGTGTTGTCAACCCTGGAGGACTATGAACAATAGCACCCATTTTTAAAAGCAAATCCATACAGGAAATGCTTCCATTGAAACACGCAAAAAGCAAAGGAGTAACTCCTCCATTCAAAGGATTTATCTGAAAATTACATACATAGAAATCAATATATAAATATATATATACATTTATAATTATAACTGATATCAGAACTTTTAGGGAATTTAACAAATATAAAAAAGTGTCAAATTAAATTTTAAAAAATATTCATCTTATTTTCAATTGTATAATTTCTTTTACATCATTCTCCTGAAAACTTAGGATTTTGATATCTTCAATGGAATTCTCACATAGCATTCCCATTATAAATATAAAATTATTACATAGGAGTCAAAACTTAGTATTTCTTTATTATTGTTCAGCAAATTTATTGTATATGAAAACTTGATTATTACACTAAATTATGCATATCAAAATAATTGAACAAAAAAATATAAAAAATTTTGAATAGCTACATTTAATATTTATCCCTTCGTTAAAAATATAATACAAAATCTAATTTTTCGTCATAAATTTTCAAAAAGCAATAGAAAACAAAATATAGAATTAAGATAATATTCAATTTTAACTTTATCACCATTAGCTCTTGGTTTTGGGAATTAAAAGTTCTACATGTATTATTCTTATGAAGGTAATCATAATATCTATTATTAATTTATCATCACTCTGAAATCCCACATATTTTCGAAAGTATTTCTAGTCTCATTAATGTCATAATGAAATGTTTCATAGTTATTCAAAAGATATTCCAAACTAAGAAGGTTGATTATTTTTTAAGCAAGTTATTCATAACATTTACATAGTTCAGCACTATGTTATATGGAAAAATCATTTAAACACTATTTCCTTTCTCTTTATTTAAATTATGCTTTGATGTTTTTAAAAGACTATTCGATACTAGACTACTAGTTGATTAAAAATTTCATTGTACATGTTTACGTCTTAATAAGAAATTTTTAGAAAACTCTTAAACCTTCCATAAAAGATTAATTGCCTATTCAATGATATCTGAAAATAACTGGAATGTTCAATTGGGAAGGAAGAACAAATATTTTCTTTTAAGAACTAAAAGAAAAAGAGAAATACATACTGGAAAAATATTTTGCACATTTCCATAATCAATATGCAATAAACACTCCAGAAAAGCATCAAGTGCTAGAACAAAAATGAATTATATCGTTTTACAATCACATATAATGCTAGTGAAATATTATTTAATTTGATATTACAAGAGAAATTGTTCTACATTAAAAAATGCTATAATAACCTAATATAGATATTAATATTTCTAAATAGGCTTTTGATGTTTAAGTCCGAGATGCAAATTTCAAATGAGATAAATCTTAAAAGCACTTAGTCAAGTCAAGTCAAATGTGACTACTCAGCAAAAATTTTGTTTAAGTTTAATAGCAGTAGAGCTTTGACCCAACTGGCAAACACACACATATCAGTACTTTTCAATCGAAATTGCTAATCTACATTATCAAATAATTCACATCAACAATTCTAACTTCAACTTATGGTATTGTCAAGAAATACAATTATTATTATTACTTTTTTTGCTTTTCAAAAAATGGAGGAGATATCTGGAGGTTAACATTAAAGCAGCATTAATTTATAAATTTGGAAGATTAAATTAATAATTCATCGTCATAATCGCCGCAACAGCCCATGGTGGGCCAAGGTCATCTGCCTACTGGCAGATTTCGAAACATGAGATGTCTTATTACGGGGTAAACCCTACCCCGTAGGGTCAAGGTAGGGTCCCCCCCGTCAGTCCAAGGTAGGGTTGTATGCCCAATGCCAGTCATGTTAGACTGGGACCTACAGTTTAGAGTGGACCACTACAAACAATCATGGCACTGCTGGGACTTGAACCCGAAATCTGTGGTACTGAGTGCTAGCCACTCAGCCACCCAGGTCCCAAATTTTGAATGCCAACAGCATGCGGTGTTCCCAAGCGGTCAACCCTCCCAAGTGCTGACCGCGCCCGATAACGCTCGACTTTGGTGATCGAACGAGAACCGGTATATTCAGGATGGTATGGCTGTTGCCAAAAATTAACAATTACACATGAGATTTATTAAATAATAAATGTATAAATAATAGCTGCACAGAACTTTAAAATGAAAATTTATTATTCATATATATATATATATATATTGAATTTTTAAAAATTTCCCATACAAGTACTTTTTTTTTGTGTAGTCCATAACTAATCCTATTATTATTATTATTATTATTTTTTATCTTTTGCAGTAATTATGAAGAATCCCTAACAGAAAGAATATTTTCACATAAAAAATTAACAAATCTCATCAAAGTACTTACATTTGCTCCATATTTAATTAAATTTTCTGCACATTTTACTTTATCCTGCTGACATGCTGTATCCAAAGGTGTAAATGGACATTGGGGAGTATGAACATCAGCACCCATCATAAGAAGAAATTCTATGCAAGCAGCATTTCCTTTATAACAAGCACCATGTAAAGGAGTTTCATTACTTTCATCTACAGCATTTATCTGAAAAATACAAATATAGAAATCCTCTATATAATTATATATTTGAATACCTCTTTAATCTAAAAAATAATGTACTTATTTATAATTGATATTAGAAATTTTATCAAATGTAATAAACATAAATAAGTATTAAATCAATTCTTTAAAATTGGCTACATTGAAAATACAACCACAGAAGAAAAAATAAAAATTTCCCTCCTATTTTCATTTCCCTCCATTTTTCAGTTTTGTTCACCGACGGATAAACACACACACACACAAAAAAAAAGAAGACTCAAAATGAGTATTTTTATATTTAAAAAAATATTTTAAGATTTAGGATTTTAATAGCTTTTAATGGAATTTTCATATCCCATATGAATCATAAATATATACTTAATCCTAATGCAGAAGTCAAATCTCAGTTATTCAAATTTATAGTTTTATAAATTCATTTTCATTGAAAATGATAAATATTACATTAAATTATGCTCAGATTTTTCTATGCCATATCATAATTGACAAAGAAACACAGTCTTAAATACCTTATTTTTATATTTATCCTATTATATTTAAAGGGTATAATGAAAATCTAAATTTTTTTATTATATATTTCCGAAGGAAAACAAAATACAATTAAGCTAAGTTATTTCCATTCATCATGAGCTCATTGCGCTGTGGAATCAAAAATACTTTTGAATGTATTCCTTCAATAAAGTATTCATAATATCTATCAATAATTTACCATATGCATGCTTTATTAACTATCAGATGAAATACAGGAAAAAAGATATTATTCAATATATAATGTGGCACAGAATTTAAAATAGAAATATAACACATATAAGAAGAAAGAAGAAAATTAAAATTAATAAAAATATATCAATATAAAATTGGTCTGATATATTAGAATATATCTTCTATTAAAGCCCCCACAGACAATCAGTTTTTGATAACATGAAAAAAAATGCAAGTGGCAATATTAGTGTTTGGCAGATTAATGAAAAGTACTAATGTTAATTATAAAAAAGAAGCTGTATAATTTTAAATTTCACATAAAAACTAGCACTATTTTATTTCAAATTGGTAGAAGTTTTTTTTAGTTCTTTAAATTAGAAAATTTTTTTATAAAAAACTCTCATTTAAAAATAATTTCATAATTTTTTTTTCTCTTCAGTCACACTTAATCTAAAATTTTTTTTTTACTTCCACAGTAATGACAAAGAATTTGTAATGAGTGGTATCTGTATTTTAAAAGCAAAATATCTTAATATAAAAAAATTAGTAAATCTCTTCACAGTACTTACATTTGCTTCATATTTCAGTAATATCTCTGCACATTCCACTTTATCTTGCAGGCACATTTCGTGTAAAAGTGTTCTCCCATTTTGAGAAATATGTACATCAGCACCCATTTTTAAAAGTAATTCTACTCTAGCAACATTTCCAGCATAACATGCATAATGCAATGGAGTTTGATTATCTTCATCCAAAGCATTTATCTAAAAATAATACGTATAAAATCATAATATATTTTAATTGCTTTAATCTATAAAATAATATCTATTTATAAGTGTCATTATAAATTTAAAAAAATATAATAAATATAAATATGTATAAATTATCACATAAGCTATCAAGAATTGCACTTTGAAATTCATCAGATAACTCAGGATATTGATTATTTTTTAAACAAGTTATTCAAAAACTTTTACTCTTCAGAACTATGCAATTTTAAAGAAATATTTTAAACAGAATTTTTTGTTTTCTTTTTAGTTATGCTTCATGTTTTTTAAGAATACTATTTTTAATTGATTAAAATGTTGTTGACTTTTTTTTATTTTAACACTAACTGTTCATAAGTCTTCCTAAAAATATTAATTTCTGAATTAAAAAAAATAATAAACTACAAAATTGTACAATATAAAGTTAGTAAAATATTACTATATAAATTTGTATTCTAAAAGAAAATATCCAAATTACAAAAATAATACATTTAATTAAAAAGTTAATAAATCTTTTACTGATATTTTCTATGTTAAAATTACTATTTTCAGAGATGGAAACCTCAAATGAGACTATTCAGTAATGTGTCGCACAATTTTCTATAGTCACAACAGATGTACATGGGGTTGCAGCTAATTAGCATATGCACACACAATTCTCTACTTTATCGAAGCTGCCAATCTAACATTATTGCATAATTCACATCCAAAGAAATGCAAAATAGTGCTGGACAATGTTGAAATTTCAAAAATCAATTATTGTCATTTAATATCCTGATATATCAATTTTATACCGATTTAAAACTTGGCAGAAACTTGATACAGAACTTGTTTTTGAATAACAACAAAATGGGAGTCTCCAAGCTCTATCAACAACCAAATTTTTTAAAATTAGTTTTTACTGATTACTTTCTAGTGTAACTTTTGTTCATTTAATTTAATTGACCTTCTCTTTTTCAGAACAAATTATTCTCTTTATTTTATTTGCTTACGCTTATATTATTGCAATATATCTTTATTATACTTTATTTAGTATTAAATAATTAATTGTTATCGTTTAGTTTTCCCTAAACAACTTCAAAATGGAATGCAACTTTTTTTCTTGAACAATAAATAAACGATATATATAAATATATTAAATGTAACTGCAGGAAGAGAAAACTTTGGGAATGGGTTGATAATTACAAGTCAGCTTATTAGAAAGGAAAAAGGAAGGTTAATGAAAGTTATCTATATTTAAAGCACATAATTTAAAATTTATGTCATAAAAACTATAAAGTATATTTCTATAATGAAAAAAAATACAAAAGAATGAATTACTATAAAGCATTAAGAAGTGTTTAATTGCATATAAATTAACACAATCATTTTCTCATAATCAGTAGAATATTTTTAATTGTGTAAAATTGGGGGGAAAAAGAGATAAAGCAAATGTATTTAAAAAAATTAAACAGAGAAGTATTTTTTTTTTTTAATAGACTGTAAGAAATACAGAACTTTTATGTTATTTTCCATTAATCAACAAAGAAACTGTAGCACGTGGAATCTCTATTTTCAAAACAAACATTTTAGTAAATCACTGCATAATACCAACATTGGCTCCATTTTTAAGTAGCATCGCTCCAGATTCCACTTTATCCTGTAAACATACTTGATGTAAAGAAGCAGCTGCACTTTGAAGAGTAAGAGAATAAAAGTTCATTTTTAAACACAATTCAAACTTGACTTGGCGCTTTGAGATGTATGCTCGCTGACGCTGCTTTATCTCAATTTATCCAAACGTTTTTATTCTCAACCAAAATTTTTTGCAGAAGTGTAAGTAAGACCTCCTTAAAATACAGTTCAAAAATTAAAATTCCAAAATCACTGAAAAATTCGAAATTCCAGGAGTTCAAATTTCCTTTTGAAATACCATAAACGTTGTCCATACTTTCTAACAATCAAAAGAATAACAATAAAAGAAGTCTATTTGGACATGAAAGGAATAGACGAATTACTGATCAAACGATCAAACATTTAAACGATGATTTAGAACGCATGAAGTACTACTAGTACTTGAAGCGAAAAGTGAAAATGAGATAACACAAGAAAAACAATATGGGGCACCCCATAGTTGACGGGGTTAAGAGACTTTTCGTAGGAATTGTAGAATAACTGTTGGTTTATAATAAGCATCTTCAGAAATATCGAATAACCATGAGAATGCGAGAACTTTATAACCAAAAGCACTTTGGAGTTTGTTTCGTGCAATTTCATATTTTTTGCATAGGAACAAACTGTGTTCCACCGTTTCCGGAGTTTTGCAGATCGAACATAATGGAGATGAAGTTAGGCCAAATCTGTGGAGTTTTGCGTTGCAAGAATATGTTTTTGTGCGGAACCTGGAATTGAGAATATTTTCCCTTCGATGATTAGGAAAAAGTCTGTGTGCAGGTTTAATATTATTCAAATGCATGAGTTCCTGAGCATATTTGCTATCCTTCCATTGTTCTGTTGCTTTTAGTTGTGCAATTTTTTTTTAGTTGAAAGATGAGATCTTCCGGTGATATCCAATGAAATATTATTGAATCTGCTGCGGATTTCGTGAGGGAGTCGGCTAGTTCATTTTCCGTGATACCAACATGTCCTGGGGACCAGATGAATTCAATGGATAAAATGCTATTGCAAAGATCTTGAAGTTTATAACCCAGAAACCGGATGATACGATTAGAATGAATGTTACAATTCTGTAACAACCTGAAGAACGGATAGACTATCTGTGAGAATAATATAATTATGAGCAGAAAAAGCATAAGTAGAAAAGCTTAAAAGGAATGCAACGGCTTCTCCTGTGAAAATACTATTATAATTTGAAATCTGTCCAGATAAAGACTCTTGTGGAAAAGAATTAATGATTGCAATTGAATACTTAAGTTCTGTCTTAGAGGCGTCGGAGGCTAGAAGGATTCTATCTTTCTAATAATTCTATCTTTCATTTTTGTATTGTTCAAAGAGGAGTTTGATGGTATGATGAGGTAACTGTTTGGTTTGAAAAGGTAAAT